TATATGTATGTATTATGTATGTATCTATCTATCTATATATCTATCTAGCTATATATAATATATTATAATATATATAATATAATATTATATATATATATATATGTATGTATATATATATGTATATATATTATATATATATATATTATGTATATGTAATATCTATATATATGTATATATATCTGTATCCATATATATGTATCTATATATATATATATATATATATATATATATATTATATTATATATATATATATATATATATATATATATATACATATATATGTATGTATGATATATATCATATATACACACACACCTTAATCGTAGTTATATTTGATTCCCAGTTTTATTTAAGAATTTTCTCCTCTGACTGTAGATATGTATGTGAGTGCATCATGTATGGAAATTCACTGTTTCAGGTATTCAAAGAGTTGCAATGCATTGACAGTGATCGCAAGTCACTGTATTGTGTCTTTGCTGGCATGGCCCAAGAAGAAGCTGATAGACTCGTGCACACCAGGTAAACATTTGTTTGTGTTTTGGTTCTCGTTGATTATCAATATTGGTTATTGCAGCAGCTTCTGTTCTTTAAGCTTGTTAAACCAGAAGATATGCATTGTAGATATTATGAAATGATAGTGTGTTGACCAGTTCATTATGTTATTATAGAATTGTGGGTGGCTTTTAAACATTTGCCTATATATTTAATGAGAATGAATGATTGGAGATATATATTTTCTTACAAGTTTTTCTGTCAGTAAAATCAAGTTTCCAGTATACATTACCTTATATAGTGACAGGTCTGAATTATTGTGCAAAGGTGACAAACCAACCTTCTCTTTATAAAACTGATATATGTATATATAAATATGTATATATATATGTGTGTGTGTGTGTGTGTGTGTGTGTGTGTGTGTGTGTGTGTGTGTGTGTGTGTGTGTGTGTGTGGTGTGTGTGTTGTGTGTGTGTGTGTGTGTGTTTGTGTGTGTGTTTGTGTTTGTGTGTGTGTGTATTTATATGTATATATGGATGGATAGGTAGATAGATAGATAGATAGATAGATAGAGAGATAGATAGATAATTAGACTAATGTAGATATAGATATTAATGTCAATATAGATATTTTTATACCTTTCTTTGCAAAAATGCTTTGGATTGAATGTTTTTTTTGCCTTATGTGTACATCCTTAAGGTAGGCTAGGTAATCAACAATTCTGAGCAATAACAAAAACAATAATTATAAGTAACATTGTCTTATTTGTGTCATTTTGATTTTTTTTTGTATTACTTGCTTTTCTGTAATACATCCAGTGCTGCCAGTCTTGGTGGGTAGAAATAGAATTCTAAGCATGGAAATAGTGTCTTCCCTGGAGCTACATGTAGAAGGGAAGCATGTGCAGTCTGGTGCTCAGAGGAAAAATTTAGGCTCGGTTTGTCACGGCAAGAGTAGATGCCATTTGTCTGTAAGGTGTTAATGTTTTAATTTGGACATTGGACAAATAACTGTTTGGCAGAAGCTTATATTTCAATTTATTTGTGCGTTTCTGTAATATTATTTAAAAATGAAGAAATTCTACAAAACAGTAACATAACTGCTGATTGAGAGGACTTCCCTAAAGCTAAGAATTCCTCGTGATATGATCTATATATATTACCACAAAATAAGGGGAAAGAATCAGCACTGCTGTATTTAAGTATAGAATACAGTGTTTTAGACAAAATAGGCAAATAATTTGGTACACATCACTCCATTGTAATTTGTGAGTATAGTAGCAGAAAAAGTGTTAATAATAAGTAATATTAGTACTTAGTTCATATAAAACTTAGGCATTTGTATAATTTTGCATCATGAAAACTTTTAAAATGGTCCCTTAATCTAGAAAAGTTTCTTAGTAGGAATGTTATGGTATGGGCTATGGTAATGTAAAAGTTTTCTATGAAAATTTTGATCATTAGCCAAAGCAATCGAGACTAGAATGTATTCTGATGGCAAATATTGTAAAGAAAGTTTTATATGATTGTCATTTTTTCAAATGACCTTTAACTTTCTGTGGCGATCAGATGCTTCTTTCTTATGCCAACATGATAACTCAATTTATGTTTTGCATAAAACTGCATATTATATTGCTGGATTGGAATAACTCACTCTGCTTTATTATTATTATTATTATTATCAGTAGCTTCATGAAATTCAGTTGTTAATCATGTAAAAAAAACAGATATTTATAGCTGATTTGTATGATTAGAAATAATGGAAACATTAAGAACTTACTCTTTCACATTACAAACTAGTAGGAAGACCAACAGCAAGATTGAAATAATTATTTCTGTTTGAATTTTATGATATATAATTTTAAGAATTTAGGAAAAAGATAGATGTTGCAATGGCTGTAGAAGTATAAGTAAACAATTGAAAGGAACTGAAATGGTCTCCTTTATTTCAGATAGATTGTGTCAGTGTGCTTTTGAAATCTTGCCTTCAAAGAACTAAAATACTGGGTCATGTGATTGGGTAAATGGAGACAGGTTGGGCAAGGTAAGGAGATAAGACAAAAAAAAAAAAAAAAAAAAAAAAAAGTCCTTACCTGAGGGAAAGATAATGGAATCATCTGGACGGAAGAGCATTGAGAAGGAAAATTACTCATTACAGGATTATAGGGATGTTGATGAAGGATGTAAAAGGGAAGAGAGATATGGGTGTGAGGAAAGAATATATACTGGCAATCTAGCTTTGATGACCACAGTGGTAAAGACAAGGGCATAATGCAGAAAGAAAGGGCAAATTTCCCTGCGGAAACCTTGTCTGAAAGGTCGGGAAGGACAAATGATATTATTAAGATAAAAGTATGTCTAGAAACAGTCAATTGACAGAGTGATGTCAGGGATATTTGGTATTGGCTTTGCAAAGTGTATGCTATATTCTTCCTTAAATATTAGATATAATATAGTGAATAGAAATTCCCTTCAAACCATGTTAACCTGTGGCTTGGAAAAGAACTGATCAGAATGAAGAGTGGGACATATATTCAACACTTTGTTTAGCTAGATTGTCAAACAAATATTTTGCTCATTGTGAATTGCTGGCAAGAAGTGAGTGCAAATATGTGTAACTGAATCTAGATAATGAAGATGGACTTCCTTTTCAGCATATAAAAGCAGTTTGTTTTTAAGGTTATGAGGGTGAAGTATCTGGATGTATAGCTTGCCATTATTTAGTTTCTAATAATATCCTCATAGGTTTTGATAATTATTCTCAGTTTTCAGTTATATTATACTTATTTTATATTTCAAAAAGTAAAGAGATGATCAAAGTAAATGCAAATATAGAAAGTCATAAACAAAGTAGATAAGTTAATAATGATCCTTTAAAAGATGAACCCCATTATTCTGAATTATTCTGTGGACCAATAAGATATTTTTCCAATTCTGAATATTGTTTCAGGCTACCAGGATGGTTTTATCCAGAAACCGGAAGACCTCTGGAGGAAACATTTGTAAGGAACCTGATTGGAGAAAAGTACCAGCAACTTATTGATGAACTTTTTAATGCATTAAGAGAAGAAAACAGGGAAACACTTGCCTCCTATCTACTACCGTACATACGGAAAGTTAAAAAATGTACGTAATTTACTTCTTTTACTCAGAAATTTCACCAGAATTATAATTATCTGTGAACTAACTTGGCAAGCATTGATTGTTACACTCAGGAATCAGTTAACCTTAAAATAAAGGAATATGTGATTCATATGCTTTATACATTTTTTAAGAGAAAAATATAAAAATGGTAGTATTTGCTTTATGTTGTGTGACTGTTTAGATTGTAGAAAATAGAGAAAAACAGTAAAATGTATCCTTCATATGTTAAATTTCCTGCAGCCAGTCAGAAATCTGCCGTAGGGTATTTTAGTGTTCCAAATCTGCAGTAGAGTCATTTGTAATATGCCAAATGCTGTTTTACCAAGTAGCTACCACCATGTCATAGTGAACAATGGGCATTTATTTCATGTTGCGAAACATTTTCCGATGATTGCTGATTGTGGCATTCAATACAAGTAATAAATATCCTGATGCTAAATAAACACTTTTCAGGTCTACCACCAGAGATTGAAGAAAATTTCTACCCCCTTCCTACAGGCTATCCGCATGGCCTGTGCATTATCATAAATGTTAAAGATTTCATGAAACCTAGAGGTGATCATGATAATGTAAGTACAGTTTGATATAACTTATGATCCCAAATTCAATGCTAATCTGTTTACTTATGCTTTGTGAATTTACCTTAGAACTTTCCTTAGTTATTATATTAACTTGAGCCAGTCCCAAGTGCATGAATATGTGTGTTTGTATGTTTGCATGCATTTAGACATACTGATATGTGTCTGCCTGCGTTGGTGTCTTTTGATATATGTATATATATGTCTAAAAGGTTTGTGTACAAGAGTGTGTGTAAAACTATGCATATGTAAGAAATATTTTTCAGGAATGCAGTTTTTCTGTAGCACACACAAAAATATGATTATTTATTTGTTAAGTCAAATTAACATATTTGCTTGCAAATACTTCCTCAATAACTAACTACAAACTGTCTTATTTAGATACCACTGAATGAACGGCATGGGTCAGACATTGACAAACAGCGACTTACAGGCACATTTAAGTTGTTTGGATTCCACGTCATGCATTTTGACAATCCCGACTATGAACAAATAAACCAGTACTTCAAAAGGCTTCGTGTTGATGGCCGACTGGCTGTCATTTCCTGCTTGGTTGTATGTGTTATGACTCATGGAGATGAACAAGGTAAGGATTATTTATTTTTTGACTCTAAAGACCATGTTAACAGTAAATAGTGACTGGATGGCTTGATCTTTTTATCAGGCATTTGCATGACTTCTGAAACTGAATGAAAATACTAAGCCTAAAACATAATGACATTAAAAGCTTTGTGATTATTGATTAAAATTACTTTGTAATTTTCAGATCAGATCTACCTCCATGATCGTTCTTGTTTGTCAGTTACTGATTTTAGGAAACTTTGTTCTAGTCGGGTTCTACTTAACAAACCTAGACTTTTCTTCATTCAGGCATGTAGAGGAGAAGAGGCCTTAAAACGTAAGTAATTGTTTGTTTAAAAGAAAACATTCCAAGCATGTACTTTGTCTGTCTTTGTATCTTTATGCCTGTCTCTTCATCCTCTTCACTATTTTTTTTTTTCTTTTTCTTTAGGTTAATCCATTCACTGGTTCACATTTTTTCACTGTCTTTTAAAAGATCATTAAAGAAATTTACATTTTATGGGTTTATTTCATCTCTGACTTTTTACTGATTTTTAACAGCAATATTTCTACAACAAGATGGCTCAGTCGTTGCTCATCAGGAGAGTGACTGCCTCATTTCACAAGCAACAGTAAGAGGATACTCTGCATTTAGAAATCAGATGGAGGGTATGTTCGAGAGGTGTTTCTTAACACTACTGTATGTTAAGTGTTTCGTTCCATTACTGTATGTGAACGCCTTGTTAAGCCAATGCTGACAGGAAAATGTTTTATTCATTTTAGTATTGTTTTGTTAAATGTCTCTGCACAAGGATGGCTCTGCCAGTACTTAACCACAAAGGAGTCAATTAGCAGATCTTGTGGCCTCACCTTTCCTTGAAATAGCGGGAAAATGCTTTTTTATACTAATGCTATCAATATTGATACTGTTATTTTTGTTATAAACATTATAATTACTAAATTGTTATTGACATTACTAACAGCACTATTAAATACTAGAAAATATTATTGAAAATCAAGGAAAAGGCTAAACAGGTGAAACAGGTAGTTCTTGTAATTGGTTCATTGGTGACTTAGTACTTTTGGAGCCATCTATCTGTAAAAACAATTACTAAATTAAACACACAATGGGCACGGTATGTATGTACATGCCATCCCCGGCGGCAAGTGTTTAATATATAGGAACACATTTTTTTTGTTCAGTGTAGGTTTGGTATATTAAATCTCTTCAGATAATCTCATCTCAGGAATTTCTATTAGTTTCTACCCTAGTTCTGTGCTTCATCCTATTTACCAGATGTAACATTTTGCATAGTAAATTATGATAGCTTTTACTTTTCAACAGGATCTTGGTACATCACTGACTTGTGTCAAGCCTTACAAGAATATGGCCATATCCTACCAATGAAGAATGTGTTACACAAAACAAGAAAGAATCTGAAAGAACGTGTTGAAAGGATGAATAATACATACATAACTCAGCTTTCAGAGGAAAAGGATACCTTAACCAGGTATTGCAGAATGGAGATAAAAAAAATGAAATGTTGAGCTTTCTTAATTTCATCTCATTAATATACCCATCCCTGTTTATTTTTTTGAACATCTAACTTATAATATCAATAACCTCTACTGTTCAATATTTACAGGGACGTTCAGTTGGTAAGAGCAGACTTGGATCATTTTACGGATGGCCTCATGGATCTGATTGAGCTCGAAGTAACAGAGAAACTTCTGGAGGAAAAACTGGATGAGGCTTTATGCGACATATTTAACCTAAATGTAATGGCAGATATAAGTCACCATCTTGGAGCCTTTAGAATATAACAATAATTTCAGTGACTTAAGGAAATATCATTAATAGTATAGTGCTTTCCAAAGGATCAGAAGTACCCATGAATGAATTTTGTATATATTTTCTGTGGCAGATCGAGGCTCTCAACCTTATGTGTAATAAATTGCACTACAAAAACAGGTTCAACAATATGTGTTTGATTTAGGCAACAGTGCAAATTTGTTTTGCTAAAATTGGTGTCAAAATGTCTGCTGAAATGTACATATATTCATGTATATATTGTGTTTATACTTTTTTTTTTTTTTTTTTTTTTTTTTTTTTTTTTTTTTTACCTTATGGAAACCATAAGACTTAGATCTTGTAAGTAAAGCTTGTATAATGTTTAAATTACTTATATAAAAATATCAAAGCTCGTCTACTCCAGAATGCTTGGAGTGGCTCTGAATTATCTTAAGACCCACGTCCTTTGGAACATCCTGGATCTGCTACAGTATACATTTGATGTGTGCTCCACCCTTGTTTGTAAAGTACTACAGTCAAGAATTTTTACTGTCACACTTTGAAGATGAGGTTAAAAGTGAGGGGGGAGTGTGGGATAGAAATGAGATGCCACACATGTAAGGTTGAGAACTATTGTTTCATACCACACACAGGCATGCACACCTGCACCTGCTTCTGCTTCCACACCCACATGCACACTGTAATAACCCTGAAATATGTATGCTAATGTTATTCTATGTATCTATTGTTATGTTCTAGATAATTTATTATAATCTTACATATTGTCACATGCATACACACACATATATGTATGCATTTACGTATGTTGATTGCTTTACATATGTATTCATCTTTCCCCTTCTGCAAGAGTTGTTTATTGCTGTAACATGTACTTCTTCATTATCAATTGTCACTTGCTAAATATGCAACTTGTAGCTATCCTTAGACCATTGAGCAAGATGACTGGCAGATTCCCTGTGGGGAGCCAAGGAGCAGCACCTAGCTCCTTGGGGCAGACTCACTCCATCATTACTCTTCAATAAAGGAGTCAAGACATCTTAGTTGTTTGCCATAAACTTTAAGCTTGCCATATACCAAACTTACAGCTTGCTGTAAAAGTAAATAAACAATTGTAATAGGTAAAGACTTATCAACTTTCGTAGTAGGTGAAAGGAGTAATCATTAGAGGAAACAGACTAGATGCTATTAGTAATCAGTGAATTTAATGAGGAGGTTTAGTATTTAATGAAAATAAAGGAAATAAAAATTTCAAAACCAATATCACAAAAAGTATGAATAACTAGAAAGTCGTCAACACATTTCTTGGCAACAGTTTAAAAGTGCTATTAGATAGCTCTTCCAAACTGAGAGGTTAGTATGAAAGTAACAAAGGCAAATAAAAATGCTCTTCGAACATCCACAGGATGGCA